TATTATTATTATTATTATTATTATTATTATTATTATTATTTTGTTGTTGTTCCAATTGGATGTGTTCTGCTACTTTATCTTCTAAATCGCTGATTCAATCCTCTGCTTTATCTAATCTGCTATTGATTCCTTCTTGTGTATTCTTAATTTTAATTATTGTGTTCTTTATTTCTGACTCGTTTGTGTGTGTGTGTGTGTGTGTGTGTGTGTGTGTGGTTTCTATGTCCTTCTTTATGACTACTGTCTCTTTGTTGAAATTCTCACTAAGTTTCTTAAGCATTCTTATAACTAGTGTTTTTAACTCTGTCCCAGGTAGGTTGGTTGCCTCCATTTTATTTAGTTTTATTTACTTGGGACATGTTTCTTTGTTATATCATTCTGACTGCCTCTCTATGTATTAAGTATATTCCCTATGTCTCTCAGTCTTTGCCAGGTGGCCCTATGTAGTAGGTGTCCTGTGTAGTCCAGTGGCGCAATCTCCCTGATCACCTGTGTGTGTGTTCCAGGAGTGTCTCTTGTGTGTGTTGTGTATATTCTCCTGTTGTAGTTGAGCCTTGAATGCTTTTGGTGTGTCAGTGGGTGGGATTGATTATCAGGCTGATTGACTGAGGATTGGCTATGCCCACAATGCATGAGCTGCTATGTGGTATGGTGACCCCTCAGAGGAGGACCCTCCCCCACGAGCTCTTGTGCCTGTTGAGACCACCCTTTGGGTGTGTCACTTGTGGGGCTAGGCAGGTAGTCCTCTGGTGTGGTCTGAGGCCAGCCTCTGGATGTGTTTTTCCTGGTGTCTCTTAGGAGGGGCTCCCAGGCCAACCAATTTCAACCTTGCCTGTGACCAACCTGGGGCTCCCTGGTAGGAGCTACAAAGCTATATGTGGTTGGTAACTGCCTATGCTGGTCCTAGAGGCATATGGGGGGGGGGCCTCACTGTAAACCAAGGCCTCTGCCACCAGTATTGGGCCTGACGCAGCTTAGCAAAAGGCCCATGGCCCTCTAGGCCTGTTTCCAACTGCCCATAAGGTTCAGCCATTAAAAGAGCCTCCTTAGGTTCATGGGCTGGTTGAGCTGATGTTGAGGTGCCTCTGGTGATGTAGCAACTTGCTGGTTGGGGTCCCATGGTGTCATGAGGCACTGCCAGTGGTTCTTACAAGGTCAGTGCAGATTCAATTCTGTGCCAGTACCTGGCCTGTGACCAGTTTGCAAAAATCCATGAACACCACAACCAGCCACTGCTCACCTCGGGCCCACAACTCCCTGAGAGCCACCCAAGAGAGACTGTGGCTTAAGTTGTGGCTCACTGCCCACCACCAAAAGTTCCCTGGGCAGCTGCAGGCCATCTGCCATTGTAAAAGTCTTCTGTAAGTTTATGGGGCAAGACAGGCTGCCCAGAAGCCAGAAGTGCCCTGGGCGATGCAGTACTAGCTGTGTAGTGCAGGGATGCAGGGCATCACCAAGGTGGTGCAGATGCACACATACTGATTTTACCAGACCAATGTGGTCTCAGATTTGGCCCTTTGGGGAAGGTTCAGCATAGTAAAGATGGCACCCTCCTGTAGGCTACATGTGAGGCCAACCTTACACAGAAAATGGCTACTGTCCCTCCAGCCCTTTTCCTTAAGCCACACAACTCAGTCTTTCTCAGTATGTCTCTGGTGCCTCTCTAGTTACCACACCTTCACCGGAAACCAAATGAGAGTTTGCAAGCAAGTGAGTCTGTGTGCAGGCCTTTTAAGAGTGCTTCTGGATTTCCATCCACCTTCCGCCTCATCAGGATGACAGAGTCCTCACTGATTTTCACTGCCAGATGTTGCAGGAACTCCTCTTCCCAGAACAGGACTCCTGAGCTGGGAACCCTCCCTCTCCTAGGGGACCCTCTGCCACCATGTGCCCCTCCCGGTGTTCAACCACTATCTGTCAGTTTGGGGTCAGCCCATTTCGTGTCTCCACCCTTCCTACTAGCCTTGATGTGACCTCTTCTTTATAGTTATAGGGTTCTGTTCAGCTAGTCTTCAGTTGATTCTTGAGGTTGATAATTCTTTAATTTACTTGTAACTTTGGTGTGATCCTGGGAGGCAGTAGGCATAGTGTTTACCTAATCTGTCATCTTGTACGTTCTCCTCTGGGCTATCAGTTTTTTTTGTTGTTGTCACTTTTAGCCAATCTTGATACCACACTGAAGCTATTATATCAAAAATATAATGCCATTCTTTCTGTTTGAAAGATTGGAACATGTGTTAAACTGATCTTAAATGTAGCTGTTTGAAGGGATCATTTGGCACATACTTCATAGTTCATTCAAGAATACAAGGAGACATTACAATGGTAAGAGCCCTCACCATTTTTAGAGATGAAGACCCCTTTGATAATCTAATAAAAGTTAAGGGTCCTCTCCCAGAAAAATATTTATATCATATACAAATAGAATTTTGCAAGGAATTTCAAAGGTGTTCATATCCATGGATCTTCATAAAAGCCACATCTCCACTATAGATTGACATATAGTAAGACTTTCATGATAAGGTTTCCTCCCTTTCAGATGTCTGGGTCTTCCTGACTATTATGTTTTTTATTATAGACTTATTACACAAGTTGTTTTCCTACCCAGCTGAGCCTCCACCCATTCCTTGCTTTAGCTCTGTTCCATGAGAAGTCCATCTCTTAAACAATCTTAACTCCTGTCTTCACCCTACCCCTCCCATGGCCATTCTCCACACTTTCCATCAGTGCCCATTCCCAGTAGAGGCAGTAAGAGAGGGAAGGGAGGCTGTGAACCAGGCTAACAAATGTACAAAGCAGAGGCATTTGGGCAGAAATGGCAGTTGCAGGTACTTCCAGTACTACCAAATTAGGTTGCAACAAGGCTGAAACAGAGATAAATAGTCTGAAAAACTAAACTCTTAAGATTTTCACCCATTTACAATTCTACTAATTCTAAACAAATGTTTGAAATTCATTGTTCCCGGATTCATTTGTAAACAGCTCTTCATTTAGATCCTCTGTAATGTGACCATTCCCCACCTCTAATATAATATTAAAAGTGAGTTTTAAGCTGCAAAGTACTATAACAGTGTAAGGGAGCATCATGCTGGATTATAACGTGATTTGATGTGATGTAAAGAGAAATTGCACATCATCACATTCATTGTGTGAAATGTCACCCAGATGGACAGACAGACCATGGATTTTTATCTCTGGTAGTCCATCTATCAACTAAATATTTTTCCAGGTTTGTACAGTTTTAATCCCCAGATTTTCTTCTTTTGCACTAACTCCTTGGCCTATTCAACACTTAATTTCATATCATTTCACAAACGGCCCTCAGTATTTAGCGTGTTCAGGCACCACCACCTGAAAAAGTCAGCATATGTTAACAACAATCACAACAAAATCCAGGGCATAAAATGTAGATATAGTCTTAGAATACTAGAAGAGCATGTTTTATAATTTCAGCAACACTCTAGATCTCTAAAAGTATTATTGTTTAGAAAATGAAAGTAAGGAAATATAAGTTCTTCATGAGCCAGGTGGAGTCACTGTTGTGGAATTTTGCATTTTATTATTCAATGTTGGTTTAAATTTTTATATTCTAGTGCCAACATGATCCAATGAGAATCTATTTTTAAAATAAAGTCTACGAGAAGGTAGCAAACTGCTTAATAATGAATGTGAATTATTGAATTAGAGTATTACTTTATGATTTTAAAAGTATTATTGGTATTGCAAGGTGAATTTTTGCAGTAATATTATGATGTTGATAACCAACATTGATTTTAAGAGTCCCACGTTATATAAGCAGAAAACACAAGGCATAAAGATTTAAGGTGCGGAAATGTTGCTGAGGCAGCATTAACAGTGAATTAGATTCCCATTAGGTAGTGTTCAGTGAGAGGGGATGTGCATATGCAGGGTTTAAAGAAATTGAAAAGAGAGAGAGACATTTTTAATTCAGAATGCCAACAGGCATCATTTTGTATCAGAAGCATGGGTTGCTTCTCTGTATTAGCTTTCATCACCATTCAGAATTTTCCCTTTTTTTAAATGCAGTAATATATTTTTGATATATAATTCATATATAGAAATTAACAGCTAATGATAGAGAAATTGATATTTTTTTAGAAGAAAACACATTTGATGCAAGGAAATAGAGCATGGCTATGAAATTCAAGGCTATTACTTACTATATTTTAACTATATTTTTTATTAAGCTTTCTTACATTTGTATGTCAAACTAGAGTCACTAGTGTTAGTAGATTAAAACCTTTTATGATTCTTTTAATCTAGAACTATTATTTTTTAGTTTTTTTGTCTTGTAGACCCCTGCTACTTCTTCAGTTTCTTCAAGTCAAGTAGCTCTTTTTCAAATTTTAGAAACAATTAATTTTCTATAAAATTCTATAGTAAGAAGTTAAAGTGAATAGTTTGTCAACATAAAGAAATATATTAGAAAGCAAACACAATATTGATAGACATTGAAGAGAAAGATCTTTGTGGGCATTTAAAACACCAAGGGATTACCAGGTGAAGAGCAGGCTAGTTAAATAGAAGCCAAAGCAAGATCTCTTTCCTTATGTGCCTACTGAAAATTAATAGAAGTTAGTCCTAAGTAGCTAACAGTAAACTCTGGGTACTAACTTCCCTAACGCACTGAAATAGGAAGTGTAGATGAAACTTGTAAAAGAAACCCTCAGGGATTCCTCCTTTTTTCCCCCTGTGATCCCTTTAATCCTTGAATTGTCAAACCACATGGAAAAATAATGGAGCTGTGTAGTTCTAAGACTTAAGGGGTATTATCTTTTTAAAAGAAAATATTAGGTCTTCTCACATCTCTGGACAAGAATAAGGCATGTGTTCAGTGTGTAGAAAAGAGTGATTTTGAACAAGAGATGTATATTGCCTTTTCATTTTTAATGTCACGTTATTATCTATGACTAAGCAGGCTGCACCCAGTAGGAAAAAAATCGTAGCCAATATTTTATTTTCTCTCTTTTTTAAAACAGATGATTCAACGAGAAGCAGATGTAAAAAGTAAGGTAACTGCTGTGGCGTTGACAGACTCTGTTCACAATGTGTGGCATCAAGAAGCTGGCAAAACGATTCGAGAATGGATGAGAGAGGTAAGACTGGATTTTTTCAATGCTGAGATGAATGAGCGTGAGCCTTTATGTCTTGAGCCCCCACCAACTTATATCACCTCCCACCCTCAAGCTTCCTTTCTACAGGCAGAGCATTTCTTTCTACAGGAGTAGAAAAAAAACTAGACATATTTGAAATAGTAATAGAAAGCCCTTCAGAAGAACAAATACTTCTTTGAAAGTCCTCTTCCCTTTTTTTGGCTTTCTATAGAATATTATGTATGCATACAATACACAGTAGGAACTATGGCTGAAGAAGGTCATGATCAGTTAGAAGATTATTATTTCCTGATATTTGTTTTTTTTCACCAGCTATTTTAGTATTGATGCTGCTTAATTACAAGAAAGAAGCTTACTGTACACTGGGTCGCATCCTTTCTTGAAAGGCAGTCAGTATGTGCCTCTCTTAAATGGGTTGGCTCACTATTGCCAGTAGAGGGAGAAGAAATAAAAAGCTGAATTAGTAGAGTATTGCCAGACCCTTGAGCTAGGAGAAACCCAGGGCCTGGTCATGGTCCAGCCTCAGGCTAAGAACGCTTCTTTTCACACTTTCTAAGGGCTAGTAAACCTGAAAATTAACAAGGACTTATTGAACATGCTCCCATTTTAAAAAAACAACAACAACAACAACTTTCAGCCCATTATTTCTTTTATTCCTACTACAGATATACAGCTGACATTTTTTATTTGTATTTACCTTTCTGATATAAGCAATTGACATCATCCATATCAAGCTATAGCAATTGTTTAGTCAAATCATGTACTTATGTGAATGAGTTGGTTGACCTTCCTGATTTTCTCCCAGTTTTTGTTAATAGAATACCTAGACATTTATTCAGCTGGCCTCACGCCATAGGTATGGCGGGTAACTTCTCCCAGCCCTCGTGGTGCACTGCAAGGACCAGAGAGTTAACATTTGGAAAGAGTTTAGAATAAATAGAAGGTCTAGGCTATATAATACCCTGGTGGCGTTATCATAATACCCCAATCTGTTTTCACTGCTGTTGTTATTCTCTGTTAGAAAAAGTACTTTCTTCATGCAAAAGTCCAAAATAGTTTTTTTTACTCCATTCCTCATAATGCTGTAAACATATAGAGGTAGATTTTTAATCTATTCTAGCACCCAGGTGATTTCTAACCACATTATTTTTCATATTTCTTCTTTTCCAATGTATCTACATCCTTAATTGTCTTTTCCTAGGGCCTAAACTTTTTCAAGAGAAATTTTGTATATTTCATACCTATACTTTTTTTAATGCTACTTAGCTGTCCAAATGCATACACAGGCAGCTAGCAGCATTATATTAGTTAATAAGGTTAATAAATGAGCTGTTAGTACCCTTTTCCCCACACACAACCAATATGGAATTTAGTATTTATCTCGAAGTACAATAGAAACATCCTGGTTCATCATTTTTTAACTGGGAAACTTTTGTGTCTCATTCCAGGTGACAAATATAACAAAATTTATTTAGGTTTACTTTTTAAAGTATTTTTAACTAAGATTGGATTAGGTGTCCCCTTCAAAAATCAGAATATATTCTGTGCATTTTTTCATCTGGGTGAAATAAGCAGTAGTTGAATTCATCTTGAGTTGATCAAAGCTGTCATTTATTTCTTTGCTAGCATAGATTTTATTAAAAAATTCTAATTTTATAAAATTTTATAATGACCTAGCTCTTCAAGAGTTCTTTCAGCTCCCTCGATTATGCCTTTGGCATGAAGCAACATGAAGTTTTTTATTATGACATACCAAAATTTATACCCCAGCTCAATCATCTACCTAGTTGCATAGTCCTAGGCAAGTTGTTTAATCTCTTTGAGTTTCAGTTTTCTCATCTATAAGATATAATACCTACCTTGCAAACATGGTTGAGAAATAACCTATATAAAGAAAAAACACAGTTGTTGGCACTTTAAAGAAGTTCAGTAAATCAAAGCTATTATTGTTTTTTACCATCTCACCACCAAATAATATAAAACACATGAACTGTGTTTTCCTTTTGTTCTATGAATGATTTTCATATTCAAAATATTTTATAAAAGGGAAGTCATTCAGAACAAGGAGTTAGGAGAACTGCATTTTGATAATGATTCAGTCACTAGGTAAATCAATAATTAAGGACCTAGCATGTACCAGCTACTCTGCTAAGACTTATAGCCTTAGAAAAGCCACTTCATCTTTTTCTGGGCCTGTTTCATAATTGTGAATTATAGATAATAATTCCTATTCAATCTACTTCATGAACTATTGTGAGAATCAAAGGTGATGACCAAGAAGAAAACCCCCTGAAAAGTAAATGGTACTATATAAAGAAAAGAAATGTGTTATTATAGAAAACACTATAGTGTCTCAGAGATAAAAATTATTAGATCATAGTTGATAGAGCTCTGAAATTATCCCTGCTCAAAGCTCTTCCCTAAACTAAAACAAGAGCAAACGAAAACGAACTATGGAAGTCTATGCCAGATATCCTTGTAAGAACTCACCTATTTACCTAAGCTGGCTGTTTCATTCTTCATTTCTTTCATTGAGTTCTGAATCTCCAGAAATTCTATTTATTTGGCTCTTTTTTAAGATTTCAATCTCTTTGGTAAAATGTTCATTTTGTTCTTTGATTGTGTTTCTGAGTTCATTAAACTGCCTGTCTGTGTTTTCTTTCAGCTTGTTGAGTTTTTTTAAGAACCACAATCTTGAATTCTCTGTCATTTAAGTCACATATTTCTATGTCTTTAAGTTCACAATGTGATACATAGATGATGTATTACAGAATTGTATACATGAAATCTGTGTAACTCAACATGTGACCCCCTTATAGAGAATTTATGTTGTTTGGTAAGATAAGAATCCAGCGTTTTCCAGGACTCAAAATAAAACTCCATCCCCTCTTCTTTCACTATGTTTTAGTCCCTGTCCATTCTGCAAGACTCCTTGAAATAATGAAAACAAACAAGCCTGGAGTCAATAAATAGAAAGGGCCGTTTTGTTGTCTTGAGCACAGGCATTGGGAGAAGGCGTGGTAGCATAGCTTTTGTGTCCCTCAGTATCTCACTTCCCTACCACCTCCTACTCCAGCCTCATTTGGAATCAGCTCAAAAACTGAGATATTGAGCAAATATCCTTCCCAAGAAAAATACCCTAGCTAAACTGGAATGTTGTCTGTAAAAATAACAGTCTGGTTGTAGATGAAACCTCAATGCTTTTGGCCTCTTGATGACTGGCTCCATTATTTCACCAAACATTGCTTTAAAATTTGGAAGTAGGACAGTGGTACAAATTGCCTAATCATTCCTATTATGTTGCAAATTAATATAGCTGTTTTTTGTTTTGTAAGCCTGTTTAGTATGATAAAGTTATTGATATTAAGTATTTGTTTACTATAAAAGCTCATTTTTTTAATCCTATAATTGGCATACAGAAAGAATGTTAAGTACTATATTCTTATATTACTTGTATAATTGTAAAATAATTTCTTTTAAAGAAAGAAAGTCAAAGAGGTCCACTTTTGACAGTTTCTCCAAATGAAATCTATGAAAAGACTAGGCATACATACTAAGCCAGTCTCATGAGGAAAGGTGAAAAGTGACCAAAGGCAGATCCTAGGAGGCACCAGGAGTGTAAAGGCTGGGTGGGCGAGGATGAGCCTGGAGGACATTATGCCAAGTGACATAAGCCAAACACAGAAAGGAAAATACCCCATGACCTCCCTTATATGTGGAACCTAAAGAAGTCAAAACACAGATACAGAGAGTAGGACAGTGACTACCGGTGGCGGGGAGGTGGGGGAAATGGGGAGCTGTTGGTCAAAGACTACAAAGTTGCAGATATATAGAATGCCTAAGTCTAGAGACCTGATGGTACAGCATGATGACTGCTTAATAATACTGGATTGAACACTAGAAATTTGCTAAAACAATAGATTCTGGTTTTTCTCATCATACACACACACACACACACACACACACACACACAAATGGTATCTATGTAAGAAGATATGTTAATTAGCTTGACTGTAGTAATCATTTCATTATGTATATATCACATCATCATGTTATACACCTTAAATGTATAGTTTTTATTTTAACAAAAAAATTAAAAGAGGCTGAGTGGGCAAATGTCATTTCCTGACACACTCCTAGCTTCTGAAAATCTCCAGCCAAGCAGATGTAGGGCTCTACATAACAGTCAGGGACCCTTACCTATCCCCATTCAGCTCTACATGTCAACTTTGGCAACTCAACCTGGTGAACTGTAGTTGTTCTTGTCTGAGGAGACAATACCTGCCATGTTAACGATCCATGTCTGAGGTGTTGGTGATTTATAACTTAGATAAATGAAATAAAATTGAATGAAAACCCAAACTCAACCAGGGAAACAAGCATCTCAGATACTTCCAAATACCTTGCATAGGAATACCTACTACCTACTTTCTCTTTAAACATAATATACTAAGTTCTAATCTTTTATAAACAAATTTTAATTCATTTCCTATCTACACCGAAATATTGCCAACCCTGGATTCAAATGTCAGAGTCATTCAGTACTGTGGCCTTACAGGGTCTTCTAATCTATAATAATAGTTCCCAAGCTTTTGGATTTTACAAAGAAAACAATTTACAACCATAAAAACCTATAAGGTCATAATTTCAGAGTAAAAGACCTTTAAATTGAAAACACGTAACTTTAAGAAACACTGTAGTGCCTATTTTTCTCTTTTTCCCTCAGACCCAGAGAAACTCTAGTTACGTGATCCGTCCCAATGTGCTGGCTCTGATCAAGGGCATCTTTCTCTCTGCTTATTGGTTGGGATGAGGCTCAGGCATGGCTCTGTTGGTACCTCTAGTCCAGCACATCTTGTGTTCCCGGGGCATCTGAGAATAAGATTTCAAGAGACTGGGAACATACTCCAGCATGTTTTGAGTTTAGGTAGGGCTTTTTTAGAGCTGCCTCTGTCACCATCCAGGATACTTCACCAGTGTTCATCTCAACTGAAGAACTCAGATGGGGGCGGGTGGGGGGGAGCGCAAATTGGGGCATTGAGAAGAGGGCTAGAATAAGCATTAGAAGAACAGTGAAAGAGAATTCGTTTCTAAACTATAGAAAGACATCTCAGAATAGGGAGTTAGTTACATTTGGTAAAATGGAATTTCAGATCATTCGAATTACTAATGTAGAATGGCTGTATGTCTTTCTCATATTCCTTTCTTTATTTCCCAGTATGTTTACATTATTTTATTTCATTATACTCTACGATATGGAGTTTAGAGCATACTCTAAACATATTTTTAGTTTGTTTTGCCCTTTTTTCTGTATTTTTCCCAGTAGGGTAAAAATGTCACATATGCATGCACACACACGTATGTACTCATCAAACTTATGGTTTCAAACCTTTACAATCCTACAAAGGTACTTTGTCATTCCAAAGAATTTTTGGTCATATTCACTTTAACTATATGGTGTTTATTTTCTGTCCTATTTTTATAAGAGGTCAAAGCCTAAACATGTGCCTAGATAAAAACTAAAATTTCAGAATCATAAAATGTTAACTTATATTTTACTTTAAATATTTAAGTTAAAGGTGACCTGGATAAAATCCATTCTGTTCAGCTTTTTAAAGTCAATGATAACGAGTTAGAAAATGATTAATCACCTGCACATTGTAATGTACCATCACTTTTATTAATACTAGAAATATCCTATAAGACATAGTTTTACATATGTTGAAGTGTAGGTGAACAGTATTAGGACTGACATATCACCTGCGTAATAGCTGACTTTCGTCAGATTTGAAGGTACTACTAGGATAATAATTAAAATATATACCTAATCGCTGCCTGTCTGTCGGTAGTGCTAATTGCTATCATTGAAAAGACTGAATTGTTTAAGAAAGAGAGAAAGAAAAAGTCATTCTTCATTGGAGCTATCTCCCAGTATCATTGGGAGCCTATTTTTAGTACCTATAGAAGTCATGCTTTTTTAATTTATTAGGGGCTGTGATAAATGATAAAACAAATCATCCATTTACATATCTTGACACTGCTTTGGAGAATACTTATTTCTTACAAGCAAGTGTCACATTGTATATAAAAGCTGGCTAATTGTGTGCTAATCTTCTGCATTATCTAGAACTCTCTGATGTGGTATTCTATCAATAGTCATATTAATTTTACTTATTTCAAATGTATGAAATATCTTCTGAAACCTTATTTCTTTTATAATTCCTGCTCTCTTACGTTGTATAATTTTGCATTCAGCTGCTAATTAAGATTAGGAGTGCAAGTTAAGAATACATATCCACTTTAAACCGTCAAGCTTTTGTAATACATGAAAATACTAATATTTCATCCATTTTAAATGCATAAAGAGAGAAAGCATTTAAGAACATTACTAGATGTTGTGTTTGTTTTCATGGTTTTTTTCCACACAGTTCAATAGTTTCATTGATCTACTGTTTCTTACAAAAATCTGCCATGCTTTGTGAATTTCACTTTCTAATCTCATACAGCAACCCTTCCTTTATGTTATTCCTGCTCTCCCTGGTCCCAGAACAGTAGGGTTGCCTTGACAAATCTATTCAAAAGCCATTCCCCGGCCTTTATTGGTGGGGACTGGGGCCTTTGAAATTCTCTCCTCACTGCAACACAGCTGACATCTTCTTCCAGACAGAATGAATTAAGGAAACACAATAAGACACTTGATCTACCAGTCAAGGATCTTTCCACAGTGAGGACGGATTCCATGGTGCACAACCAGGGCAGCAAGCATCCAAAAATACACAATACATGGTTGTTTACCAGAATAGCAATCAGCGATTTTTCCAACATGATTGATAGGATGATTTCTTTTAAAATAAAATCTGTCTGGAAATTCAGTGTGTGTGTGTGTGTGTGTGTGTGTGTGTGTGTGTGTGTGTGTGTGTGTGAAATGTTTTAAAAACCATATATGAGGTTAATTACATGTTTAAGCCAGATTTCAAATACAAACTTAAAATGTATGGAAGGGGTACAGTTTATTTGTATTTCATTTGTCTGAGTTGTAAATCATCATTAGCCTTGAAGTTGATCTTTAATATTGAAGGCTTTGTATCCTCAGACACACAACTACAGTTCACCAGATTGTGTTTCTTCTGAACTATTTAATACAGCCTTCATTGAACCAGGTTAAAGTAAAAATTAAAAGATGGTATAATTATATGGGCCAGATTTCGAGGAGTAAATGCAAAATTTATGTCTTCTAGTGTTACAAAGAATATAGTTTTAAAATGTAGCTGTTTTTTCACATGTTCAAAATAATATTCATTTTCATCTAAAAGTTAAAAGTGGATACCGTTTACAATTTCCTTTAATTATAATCCTAGCCTTCCTTTAGAAATGTATTACATCGTGGTTCACAGAAGATCACATGTCTTCTCAATATCAGCACAATTGATTTGCTAAATTGTAGAAGATAAGCTGACTTTATACATTAGAAAATTTTTTACAGTGTATGGAAAATAAATGTAATATACTTCTAGTGGTTGATTATATAGGATAAATTATTCTCTGCAGCCTTAAAAGTTGGTCTTGGCTTAAATTATATTTCAACAGAAAATTGTCTCTATTACATTACAGAACTGTTGTAATTGGGTCTCTAGCTCAGAACCATTAGACACATCAGTGGAATCCATGCTGCCCGACTGTCCCCGAGTCTCAGCAGGTATGTGTTTGATGAGAGATATATGGAGTTTTCTTAAGGTGAAAAAATATGCTAATGAAATGTGGAATTCTATTTTGCAAATTAAGCGTGTTGTTCTGCCTTGAATGTTTGAATGAATTATTGGTAACATATGACATGGGTCTGACCTACGTAATGATTAGCTATCTCTTCTGAATGTTATATGGAGTAGTTTTACCATTCAGAGGAGATAGCTAATCACTTCATACTTAGAGTTGCAGACATGTTTATGCATTTGAAGGAAATAACTTGGAGAACAGTTTAAATACCAGGTACAGAACTAGTATTATAACTAAATTTCATTATCATTAATACCTAAACTTTAACTGAGCTTCACTGTCATTATAGGTAAACTTTTCAGGTCTGTCAGAGGGTTCAATCAGAAACACAGACCACTGGGAGATATATGCGTATATGCTACAATATAGTATATACGTATGTGTGTGTCTTATACAATTGATTTTATTAGTTGTGTTACACAAAGTCACTGCAAATACTTAATTGGTGAGTACTGAATCATGACTCCTAAAGGAAATACAGGGTTAGGTTCCTACAAGCCTCTGGTCACAACATTTTCATCAACTGATCAATATATAACCATGTTTTATGAGTGTTTCTCTTTAAAGACACTTTATTTAGTATGTATTATTGATTTACTAACAATGAACTTACAGCCAGCAGCTCTGTAACTCATGCCTGAATGAAGCCTTTCTAACACACTTATTTTCTCCATAAAACACTTCAGTGTTCTTGTGTTAGGGACACTAGACAACACTTCAGCACTATACTTGGGGGCCACTTCGAACAGTGCCATCACCAGCAAAAGCAAAGAAATGTGAAAAACATGGCAAAAATAGTCTGCAAAATGACGCTCATTTACAGGATGAGAAGTGAAACCTTAGAAATGTTGTGCCTGTTGATCAACTCAAATTTTTCATCCGCCTATACGTGAGCATGTCTGCAAATGACCACAAAAGCACCATGAGTATTGATTCAGGCTTTACAAATACATTTTAGTAAGTAGGTGAATTTACAATACAGAATCCACAAATAGTGAAGATTGACTGTACATAGTAAAGGATTTATTACCGGGATTTGACCAGAGCTGGTTAAGCAGTCTCTGTAAGAATGTCAACTTTGCATCCGATGCTGGAGATTAAGTCTACAGAGCAGACGATCATTAAGGGAAGATGAATGTAAAGTGGCAGAGAGCAAGAGTGAGCTAGAACCCATAAGCATGAGCTGGAGCCCCTGAGGATGGAATTAGTAAACCCATGTCAGTTCTTGTGGCTTCTGTCTTTGGTGGTGTGGGTGTCCTGTACAAGCCCTTTGTCATGGAGCTAACCATGCACACACCTGGCCCCGGAGTGTCAGAGATACTGAAGAAGAATCCAAGGCAAGGTGGTGTAGACGCAGCCCGTCCGTCCACTGCCTCATGCCACCATGTGAGCCAGCAGATGAACAAAAACACGTGTGAGCTAAAAATGGCTGCTGTGTCACTTTAACCCTCCAAGTTTCCAACAGCAATATCCCTTGGGTACCATCCTAACCATAAACATGCAGTTTCAAAAGAAATTGTGGGAAATGTAGTTCAACCTAGCCACACTGACACATTGCAGATCCTCCATAGTCCACCGCTTGTCAACCTTGATCTCACATACATTTCCTTACTCCCAACGTACTCTCCAAATAAAGTTATGTTTTCATCTAACATGATACAGCTATCCCATGTACAATCAAAAACACACTAACCCTGGGCCAGCCAAGTGGCTCAGTTGGTTAAGAGCTCGCTCAGGAGTGCGAGCTCTGAGCAACAGGGTCGCCGGTTCAATTCCTGGCCCGAGCTGAGCTGCCGCTGAGCTGCCAGAAGAGGATACAAAGCCCCTTTATTATCCTTGGCTGATGTGCATTCTTCTGACCTTTTGTATCCTGTAATTTAAATACTGAGAGATAAAGCAAATTGCTAGTGACACATCTTACATGAGATGATGAGGGAATCAGAGAGACGAAAACAAAAATATTTACTCCACATATATACATATCAAAATAAGGAAGAAATCCTCATAACTATTACATTCCTCATTTTTGCAACTTGTCATGAAGTTCTTACTGGTATTTCTAACTACCTTCATTCTACATTCCCTTTGCTCTCAGCAAGCACTTCAGTTGGTCATGGTTCCAAGCCTGGTGGAACGACCCCATACCTTCATTCCTGAAGGTTTTGGGCCACTACCAATCCTGCCTGAGTTTGATAGTTGTAGTTTTCTATTGGCATTAATCACAGGGAGTACCAACAGGTGTTCTAGACGATGTCCTGCATGGTAGACATGCTCCTTTTTATCCACTTTGTGGAGGAGCAACTCAGTTTTCCCTTAGTAATCAGGATCAGACACCAGAGCCAATGTAGTAACTCCATTTCTTGTTAATTCAGTGGTGGAAGCCCAAGTGGCAAGACGGCAGTCTCAACTTCTAGTTGAATGAGATCATTGTTGTTTCACCTGAAAGAAGCATTTCTACCTTTGGAACTAAGACCTTTAGACCAACAGAGCTTAACGTCATTGGGATAGGAAGCAGCAGTTCTGCTAATAGATCACTTAAGATAATAAGAAAAGAAGCCAGTCCCATCTCCACCCCTTCATTCCCAGATCTGGAAGAAATAAGACAGTATAGTAAATGCTGATTTAGAGCAAATAGCACTTCCTGGAGGACACTGTCTCAGCCTCATAAGTTGTTATCAGGCAACATAACTGAGTCTTCAGACAGTTATTCCATCATTCTATCAAGTCTGCGGCTTAATGATGGTGAGGAACATGGTAAGACCAGTGAACGTTGGCAGACCTTAGGCTCTTTCTTGTCCTCTGCTTTTTCGTTCTGATGGAAGCCAGCTGCCATGTTGTGAACTGCTCTGTGAAGAGGCCCCTGTGGCAAGAATTGGGTCTCTTAAGAGCCAGTAAGGACCTGAGGCCTGCCAACAGCCATGTGAGTGACCTTGGAAGAGGATCCTGTCCCACTTGAGCCTTGAGATGACTGCAACCTTGACTGTGGCCTTGGGAGAGACCTTGGTCCAATTACCCAGCAAGGCATACTCAGATTCCTAACCTGCAGAACCTGGTAGTGATAAATGTGTATTGTTTTAAGCTGCCAAGTGTTGCAGTGATTTGTTCCACAGCAGTAGGTAATGCAACAGACTTAAACTTCAACTCTGGTGGCCGCTCAAGCCTAAGAAGAAACAATCTTAACTGTTTTTTGACTAAAGCCTTGTAAGGCTCATCTTTGCTCTGATACCTTAGGGTTTAAGAACAGCTCTTTCAAAAAAGGCACCAAAAAGTTTACTGAAGACAATTCATTCCTGTACTTGCTCCCCTGCTACCTCATTAGACTTTGCGTACAATTTATCAGACAAGATACTAAGTTTCTTATTTATCACGCTCATTTGACTTTACATTGAGGCATCTCACTATTCAGCTCTTCTCTGACCAAATTTTTTAGGACAGAACTTGCTACTTTCTGTAACTGTCTATTCTGTGCGGGTTTTTACTCCAACAAATTTGGCTTAAATCAGGAAGAGATTTCATGTACACTACCCAGCATATTTCTCAAATATTTATCGAGCACTTATTATGTTCCAGGCTCTGTTCTATTGTAGAAGCTGGGGACTTAGTGAACAATAGCTCATCATTACTATCTCTGTTTTTCCCTAGAAAATTTTTTAAAAAGCAAAGAACTGTTTCCTAGTTGCATCAGAAAAGAAAAAATGTTTCCTATGTTGCATCAGACGAGAAAAGTTAGGGTCAGCACCCTTAGCATTTTTCCACACCTGCTTATAAAAACTGGATGGCTTTCAATCAAAATCAGTGCTTTTTCTCAGAGTCCTTAAAAAATATTAACAAGGGGTATGACATGATCAAAATCAGATTTTTAAAGAAGATTAATTTAGCAAACGGGTAAAAGAGAAAGGAGCAAGAAGCCCGAGACAGTACATTTAGCTAGCTGTGATGATAAAGCAAGTGTAGGAGGTTGACGGCATGAAGAGGAGTGGTGGCAATGGGAACAGAGAGGATAGGAGCGCTAAACAAATATGACTCAGGAAGGCTCTGCACTCCTTGATGATAAATATTGACTGCAGAGGCTAAGGGCAAGGGAGGAGACAACAATAGACCCCAATGAAAGGTAAGTGGGGTAATGAAACAGTCATTACCAGAGGTAGAGGGGAGCTGGAGGGGGAAGTCAGTTACAGAGAAAAGATGATGAAATTGTTTTATGACCTACTTAATTGAAGTGATGGCAGTTAAGGTAAAAGCAGGCAGTTCTAACGGAAATAACCAAAGGATGCTGCAGTATGTTGGAAACACTTAAAATTCTCTGATCAGTAATCCTGTTATATATAATTTAAAATGTTAATATTATTTGAAGATTTCAACATGTATACTGACCACAAGTTAGTAATGGATACCCAGAATATGCATTCAAGTTAATGAAGTCTTTTTTTCCAGCTTTCAAAATGACAAATGTATTTTTTTCTTGTTGCAATATGCTTTTATCTCTTGACTAGCAGTTGCTTGGTCATGGCAGTAAAATTTTTTCCTTTATTACTAAATATGTTTTCCTTTACAAAAAAATAGATTTCTCATAATAGCTTCATTTTATGAATATTATTTACCTATGAATATATATTTTAAAAACAGGTACACTAAAATGTTAAATTGTACTTAAAATATCACTGATAATTATTTTTCAGTACAGTCATATTGTTTTTACTTTTGTTTTGAAAGCAAATGTAATACTTGACAACTCCACACTTAAGAGTGGGCAAGGTTGTACCTTATACTTAAAATAAAGTCTGACTTTTCAGTTATTATATAGTGAACGGTGGATATTTGAGGGATCTTGAGTATGTGCCAAGTGCCCTGGTTCCCCCATTTCTTTGTGTGTGTGTGTGTGTGTGTGTGTGTGTGTGTGTGTGTGT